GTGTCTCCTCTCCCCCTCTCCTTTGTCCGGACGGCGGGGCTGCTCCCCCCGCCTCTTCCCACTGCCACTGAGCCGCTGTCGTTTCCATGGTAACAGGTTAGGATGTACCCCGGTTCCCCCGCTGTGCCCTGGGGACCCGCCACAGACCTCAGACCCCCCCGCTCCCACTTGGGGCTCCGGCTCCCCGAAATGGCTTCTCCCAGGCCATGGGCAACGGAAGGGTTATGGGACAGTGTAGGGCATCCAAAAATGGGTCCTAGCCTGGTGTCACAGTGGCCTCATCCTGCGCTGGGGAAGGCAGACCCCTTCTACCCCCCCAGCATGGCCCGAGCCACCCACCCACCATGGAGCTGCTGCCATCCCCCTTCTTCCAGGGCAGGTGACAGTGTCCTCCATGCTGCAGACCCAGGCGTCCTGGCACCCATTCCCACGCTCTGAGGAGGATGGCCATGGGGAAGCAGGGAGGACGGTGGCTGTGGCTGCCAGCCCGGCTCCATCCCTCCTCAGGGATGGCACGGGGATGATGGCTGCCGGGCGGGCAGGACAGAGCCGCCTGCGTGGGGCCAGGGTGTCTGGCAGAGCAGCTGTCCTCACGCAGATGAGGCCTGCGGCCTCTCAATGCTGTTAATTATGCAAATATAGGGAAGTGTGTCGAGTGGAGGATGCCCTGTGGGTGGAGGATGCTGTGTGTGATGCCCTGCCTGCTCAGCTGGGCAGGCAGATAGCAGGCAGCTGAGGCTGGTGGAGCTGGGGTGGGCTGCGGGTGCAGGTGTGTGTGTCCGTGGGTGGCCCCACATATCGGACACAGGGTCAGTCACCCGCAGGTAACCGCAGGCTGGGGCGGTTGTGGTGTGCCATGCGGTGACCCTCGGCCGTGCTGCTGCCTGGATGCTCACCACCACCCTCTCTTCCCCTGGCAGACTTCAACTATGGTGCAGATGAGTACGACGCCGAGGGCAACGAGGAGCCCAAGGCACTGCCAGAGGGCTCGGAAACCATGCCCTACATCGACGAGTCGCCCACCATGTCCCCCCAGCTCAGCACCCGTGGCCAGGAGAGCGGGGACGGCGTCTCACCCACGCCCACCGATGGCCTCGGCACAGGGGTAGGTGCTCAGGACGTGGAGCTCTGTGCCGGATGCGGTTGAAGCCAGGGCTGGGGGTACCTGGCTCGATTGTTTCAGCGGTGTCGGTGGTGCTTTGGTGCTGCTGTGACCTGGTGGACTCCCCTGGCATGCCAAACCCTGCTGGCCGTGGCCCTCTGGGCTCCGGGGAGCAGCGCCCTGTTCAGCTGCTGTTTGTGAGGGTGCCACATCTGCGGGACGCGTTGCGTCCCTGCTCCGTCGTGCCACGCTGGTGGCAGAGCCAGGATGGCACGGGCCGGTGGGAGAGCGGGGTCCGGGTGCTGGAGCCCAGCCGGGTTTGCTGGGAGGCGTGGGGTCCGTGGGGTCCCCGGGGTCCCCTGCTCCGGGGAGCCCTCGGGGACAGGGCGCAGCCGCTCCGCCGGGCTGCCGGCTCCATCTAGCCGCACTTGGGGGCGAGCCGCCCGACGG